TGGGGCGGCATTGGTGGGACAAAGAGAACTGGTAGAAGAAACAGAGAATGATGAATACGCCCAGAATAAGCTCAGAGGTCTTAGGGATGAGGGAGAGGAATCAAGGGGTTTCGAGGAAAGAAATGGAGCTTTGTATTACAAAGGGGCACTGTATATCCCTGAAGGAGACTTAAGGGGGGGGGTACTCAAGCAGTTGCATGACAGCCCCACGGCGGGGCATTTTGGGCAACACAAAACCATGTGGTTGGTCACCAGGGAATTTTGGTGGCCTAAGGTGAGGGAGGATGTACGTGAGTATGTAAGAGGGTGCGAGCAGTGCCAGCGAGCCAAAGGGGAAAGGCGGGCGCCGGCGGGGCTATTAGAACCCTTACCAACACCAGAACGACCTTGGGAGGCAGTGTCGATAGATTTTATGACTGATCTGCCGAAGTCCAAAGGGAAAACAGCCATCATGGTGGTGGTAGACCTACTAACAAAGATGTGCCACTTTGTAGCTTGCTCGCATGCAGTCACGGCGGAAGAGACAGCGAAGTTATTTGTAGAACACATTTTTAGGTTGCACGGGGTGCCATTGAGGGTGGTCTCAGACCGAGGAAAACAATTTACTTCCAGGTTCTGGAGGAAGCTCATGAGCTTACTGCAGGTGGAGGTCAACTTTTCGACTGCCCGGCACCCTGAAACCAACGGGCAGGCGGAAAGAGCAAACGGTGTCCTCCAGCAATACCTGAGGTGTTATGTCAATGACAGAGAGAATGACTGGGTAGAAAAGTTGGCGCTGGCGGAATTTGCCTACAACAATGCCGAGAATGTGTCCACAGGGATGAGCCCCTTCTTGGCTAATTATGGGTGTCATCCCAGGGCTTTCCCGGGGGAGAAGGGGAGAGATGGAGCGTACCGGCAGCCGAGCATTTTGTAGAAGAAATGGAAGCAATCCACCGTCAGCTCCAACTCAACTTAGAAAGGGCGAAGGAAGAATACAAGAGGCAGGCAGACAAGAACCGAAGGGAAGGTGAAACCATAAGGGTTGGAGATAGGGTGTGGCTGTCAACCCGAGGGTTGCCGTTCAAAGGAGGTTGTAAGAAATTACGACCCAGGAGGTTGGGTCCCTTTGAGGTCATTCAACAGGTCAACCCAGTGGCTTTCAGGCTCCGGTTACCCAACCACATGAAACTGCACCCAGTATTTCACAGGTCGTTACTGTCACCGTACGAGGGGGGACGAGAAGGGATGGACACTCGGGGACCGGTCATAGAAGAAAGAGAATGCAGCAGTCATGTGGCAGAAATCCTTGATGCCAGGTGGAAGGGGAATCAGGTGGAGTATTTGGTAGCGTGGGAAGGAGAACCGGAGTCAGAAAACACGTGGGTAATGGCCAAAGATATCAATGACGAGGTATTGATAGAAATGTTCCATCAAAGGTTCCCGCGGAAACCTCAGCCTGTGGAGAGGTTCCGGAGGGAATACTTTGGGACCACTGAGGAGGAGGAGGAGTTGGAAGGATTCCCAGAATCGGAAGGGGAAGGGAGATGGACTCGGAGGAGGAGGAGTGCTTCGAGACCAGGAACCGCAACAGGTGGAGAGAAGTGTTCGAGACATCGGAAGATGAAGGAAGTTCATTCCGGGGTTTTGCCTCCTCACCGCCCGTAGAGGAGGGGGCGAGAGGGGGTGAAGGGGGCCCTGGAGGGGAGGTGGATGTCAGGGAACTGCCATCGGAAGGAAGGGAGGTGAAAGGACTCAGACAGGTTGGAAGAGATTCAGCAGCTGAAGAGGGAACCAGCAAGGGAGAGAAGCTGAACTGAGGGAGGTGAAAGGGCTCAGACAGGTTGGAAGAGACTCAGCAGCGGAAGAGGAAACCAGCAGGGGAGACAAGCTGAACTGAGGGAAAGGGAGCTGGGGGATGGCTCAGAGATACTTCCAGCGAAAACAGTGGTGAGGTTTCCGGACCTCCTGTAGCGACACCCACTCCTCGCCGGAAACTGTCACGCAGAGAGTCCAGAAGACGTGTTTCCGTTAAGGAGCTTTTATGTTGGAAGCGATTACGAAAGCAACCACTGTCGGAATCTTCTAGTGACTAAGAGGAGCCATGTCAGAGGGGCTCAGTCACAGACAGAGGTTTGTGGACTTGAACAAACTCTGAGGGAATACGATTTTACGCACAAGCAGCTCATAATCCCATCACAGAAGTGAAAAAAGATTTAGAAATTTGGTCAAATTTGAAGCTTTCACTGCTAGGCCGTATTGCTGCGATAAAGATGAATGTATTGCCTAGAATGTTGTTCTTGTTTCAAACTTTGCAGATCGTGGACAAAATGGATTGTTTCAAGAGGTGGCAGAAAGATATCTCTAAATTTGTCTGGCAGGGCAAGAAGCCTAGAATAAAATTTAAAATACTAACAGATGCAAAGGAAAGAGGTGGATTTGCCCTGCCAGACCTCAAACTTTATTATGAATCAGCAGCCTTTTGCTGGTTGAAAGAATGGCTACTTCTTGAAAACACTGACATTTTGGACTTGGAAGGTTTCAATAATGTATTTGGATGGCATGCATATTTATGGTATGATAAGGTCAAAGCACATAAAGCATTTAAAAACCACATTGTCAGGAAAGCGCTATTTAATGTTTGGTTAAGATATAAGGATTTGTTAGAAAACAAAACCCCAAGGTGGCTGTCACCAATGGAAGCGAAAGCCTTGAAAAGGTCAATATGGAGGTCAAATGGCCGAAATATTGGGAAATTTTGGAACAAGACGGAGATAGACTGAAATTGCAGAGTTTTGAAAAACTAAAAAACAAAGTGCGAGACTGGCTTCATTATTATCAGATAATGGAGGCATTTAAATTGGACAGGAAAATTGGCTTCCAGGTGGAAAGATCCAAATTAGAAACAGAATTGTTAGAACCCAAAACTAAGAATTTGTCAAGAATGTATAACTTGCTGCTGAAATGGAATACTCAGGATGAAACGGTAAAATCGGCTATGAATAAATGGGCACAGGACATTGGACATAATATCATGTTTGCTGACTGGGAACAGTTATGGACCACAGGTATGAAATTTACGGCATGTAATGCCTTAAGAGAGAATATTATGAAAATGATATACAGGTGGTACATAACCCCAGTCAAGCTTGCGAAAATCTATCACTTGCCCGATAACAAATGTTGGAAATGTAAAGAAATTGAAGGTACATTTTTTCACCTTTGGTGGACGTGCCCAAAGATTAAGGCTTTCTGGGAAATGATATATAATGAATTAAAAAAGGTATTTAAGTATACATTCCCCAAGAAACCAGAGGCCTTTCTCTTGGGCATAGTGGGCCAAATGGTGTTAAAAAAGGATAGAACTTTCTTTATGTATGCAACAACAGCAGCAAGAATACTCATCGCAAAGTATTGGAAGACACAAGAACTTCCCACGCTGGAGGAATGGCAGATGAAACTTATGGACTATATGGAATTGGCGGAAATGACTGGTAGAATCCGTGACCAGGGAGAAGAGTCGATGGAGGAAGACTGGAAGAAATTCAAAGACTATCTTCAGAAACACTGCAAAATTAAGGAATGTTAGAGTGATGTTGGATTGAAAATAAGTGGTTTCCAGCTGTACAGGTTAAAGTTAAGGATAGATTAAGATTAAAGATTAAGATTAAAGATGTTTAAAGAAATGGAAATTTGATAATAAAAGGGAAAAATTTAAATTTGTATGACATTAAGATCAAGGATTAGGTTTAAAAAAAAGTTGAAGTTATATATTTTAACATTTTATTAAATTAAAGATTGGGCTAAAAAAGTGGAAAAGAAACTGCTGGATAAATAATGTGGATTGGAATACAAAAGAGGGAGGTATGAGGAAGTCCAGAAAATAAGTAATTTAAAATTGGAAATGGAAAAGAGAGTTTGTTTTTAATTGTTATGTTTTATGTTTTTATTGTTAAGTTTTGTATTGTTTTTTGTGTGTGTTGTTTTCTTTTTTGTTGTTGTTTAAAACCTTAATAAAAAATTATTTTAAAAAAAGAAAAAGAAATCCAGCCTAAATAAGAGGGACCAGCAGGAAGCATCCCACGGGGGCTTTAGTGCCCCAAGACCCCTCTTCTTCCTTGAGAGGAGGCTTGGGGAGTCCCTTGCAAAAGGAAGGCTGGGGCTTAGTTCATCATTAGGCCCTCCTCTCTCGCTGAAGGGAGCACGCCCCACTTTCTCCTGGTGCCCCCCATAGTTTTTCCTTCCTTGCTTCCCACTGGCTTCTCTCTTCCTTTTTGTCAAATTTTTATTAAATTTTTAAATCTCTACATATATATTTGATTCCAAATTTGTCATACATTTCTCTTTAAACTTTGACTTCCCATCTTTCCCTCTCTGCTGTTCTTAATCCCATGCCATTTACATACTGCATTCTAATAAACATTTCACCTAAGACACATTCTTCCGTTTCATATATTATCAATTTTCCACCACTGCTCATATTTGGAATCCTGCTCACGATTTCATCTATTTTTTTTTCAGATATTCCAAAAGGGGTGTCTCTCTTCCTACAAGATTCTCTTTCTTGTAGGTTCCCAGCAATAAGAAGGCATCCCTGACAATCACTGTGCTGCCCCCAACCCTCTGGAGAATGCTGCTTTCTCTGACCCTGTGCATAACTCCCCTCCCACTTTATATGCCAGTGAGAGAAGGGCGATTGTTGCTGGCAAGCACCCACCGCTGTGTGACACCCCAGTGGCCAAGGAGTCACGGGCAGCCTATGCGGTCAGAGGCGGCAAGGTGCCTTGGAAGACCAGCCACTGCTAGTAATGGGGCGCTATGGCTCTCAGGTCCTCCTTGGGGGCTTCCCAGAAGCACCTGGGCAGCTGGTGTGAGAAGAGGGTGTTGGACCAGATGGGCCCCCCTTGCTCTCATCTGGCAGCCAGGCCCTTCTGATGACCCCACCCGGCTCCAAACTCAACAGGACCAAGATAAGGCACAAGCGCGTCCCCGGCACCTGAGGTGGCAACAGAGCCCACTCACCCTTGCGCCCGTCGCGCTGGAAGTCCACATGGCACCACTCGCCGTCATTCACCTTCTTGCTGCTGGCCCGCATCTTGATGCCCCCAGAGCCCATGTCCAGCAGCAGGTAGAGGTAGCCGTCGAGGAGCTCCATGGCAAAGTAGTCAGCCTTGTGCAGGCGCTCGGAGCGGCCCTCCTTGGGCGGCTGCAGCCGGCCGTGGCTGAAGAGCAGCAGCCCGTTTGGCTCTGTGGTGCGGAAGTCAAAGGAGATGGAGCCCGTCTTCTTGGTGTTCCACTTGGGCAGTGAGATGTAGGCCTCGGGGGACTCAAAGGTGACCGGGTCGAGGGCCGCCACATTCTCGCAGCGGAAGACCAGGTCCCCATTGATCTTCATCTTGGGGTCCCCTTCCTTGGCCAAGCGAGACAGTTCCAGCTTGAAGTCATTGTTCTTATAGACAACCTGCAAAGGGATCGGAGAAGCAGGCAGGGTCAACAGGACACGGTAAGCTTCGTCACACCTTGACGTGAGCCAGCTCTCCACCATCTTGGGATTTGACAGAGAGAGGTGAGGAGGGAAGGAAGATGGGGAGCAACCAGGGAATGTTGCCTGTGGATTTGTTTGACATGACCTGTGGAGTCCTGTGGTTCCGTAATGCCAAAGGTTCTTTGTGTGCCCCTCAAATTTGACCATGAATATTTTTTTTAACCCTAATGTTAAACAATGGGGAATTTAACAATGAATGGTCACACATACTTTAGAACAATGAAGAACAGCTGATGGCAACCTAGAGGGCTGTAGTTTTCCTCCCCCTGCTCTCAGAAGGGTTGATCAGAGGATCACTTTGACCCTTGGTGCAGGGTCAGACTGGGGAAAACCCAGCGGGGCTCAGGTCCCCATGCAGACACAAAGCACTGGGTTTTACCTTGGGCCGGTGATTCTTCCTCTCAGCCTAAGCTACCTCACAGGGTTGGTGTGTACACAGAAGTGGGGAGAGAGGATTCTGTCTGCTACCATGAGCTTCTTGTGGAGTGAGTGAAGCCATAATGCAATCCCACAGTTTCTGAAGAGAAGGAAGACCCTCTCCACTGAGAATATGAGGGTTGGTCCACACTTACCTTTCCTCCGTGCTTTCCAGACACAAGTCTAGACTCCATGTTTGAGCGCCCTTTTTAAAATTATTCCTCTGGAGCTTTCCCTGCACAAATCTGCTCTTTACCATTGCATCAGAGCAAATGGCAATCCATGGAAAACCCAAATGGCTGTTTATTGTGCTTCAGCTTTAAAGAGCAGGTTTTGTGGGGGAAGCTCTGAGGCTAAATAAGGAGCACTTGGACACGGAGCTTCAAAGCGTGGACCTGTGCCTGGAAAGCGCGGGGCAAAAGGTAAATGTGAATAAGCCCTGAGTACACACACTGAGGATGATTGAAATCACCCAAGTTAAATATGCGTAAGATGTGACTGCACAGTATTTCATTTGCAGCCCCAGGAGATGCTCTGTTCCATAGGCCAGTGGTGGGAAACCTAAAGGGGTCGTCCTGGTGCTGTTGGATTCCAGTTCCCATCTGTCCTGGCCATGTGGCCAATGGCCAGGGATGCTGCTGCTGCTGCTAGGAGCTGGAGTCCACCAATGTTAAAGGGCCAAAGGCTCCCTTCTGTTCTACACCATCAACTTTGCACCTGTGTAAGAGACCAAGGGACACACAGAGCCCTTCAATCCTTTCCCCCTCTTCCCAAGGTCCCCACCACATCCTCTCTGAGGGTCCCCAAGATGGAAAGGCAGCTTGTGTCAGTTCCCAGCAAGGAGGCTCATAATCTACATACGCTCAATGGGGATTAACCCTCCAACCCTGAGCCACCCCAACCCACCAGTCCCAACCCCACCCCACGACTCACATCCTTGAGACATCCCATGAAATTGTTGCTGACGGGGGACCCGGGCAGGTCGGCCGTATTGGGGCTCCCCCCAATGTAGAAAAAGTCGTCCGAGCCCAGCATGGTGTAGTCTTCCTGGGTGTAGCCGGTGGTGGTGAGGATCCCATCCACAGAGATGGTCACCTGTCCGTCGTGAGCGCAGGGGTTGGGGGGAGGGGTTGGGGTTGGGGAGACAAGGAGACAACAGAGTGTTAACCAACGAGGGATCTGGCGGGGAGAAGAGGGGAGACTTGGCGGGGCAGGGGAGAGGAGGAGCTGCTGACTCATTTTTATGTCTGATTGTCTTTCTGGAGAAATACCGCACTTTCGTTCTGATGGAGGGTGGGAGGAGAGAGAGGGAGGAGGAGGAGGAGTGAGGCAGGCAGAAGGGTGAAAGGGGAGAAGAATCTGCACAAGGTTTGATGGTCCAGTTGGGGACAGGGCAGGGGCAGTCTTGCAGCCACTGCTGCTTTGCCCCCTGTTGAGTCAATTGATGGCAGCTTCTGAGTCCATGTTTTGGCTGCATAGTCCCTCCCCCTCTTGCCCCATCATCCTGCCACTACCCAGTGCCATGGCGGTTCTGCCAACCAAGGAGCACCCGTTTCAGCTGGCTGTTCAGGAAAGGACTCCAGTTACCTGGGAGAAGAAAAGAATTACATGGGGCATTTTTTGAAAGAAGAGAGTGTGAAGCAGGTTGCAATTTAAACTAGTTTTGAAGGTCGATTGAGCGGCTCTCCTTGAGGAACTGTTGCTTTGAATTCTGCCAAGAATGAGCTGCTACAGATTTCTGGGTCTTTCTTGGTTCCTCACAGCCTCTTGCTTGGAGAAGTGGCTCAAAAACTGATTTGGAAGTGCAGCCTGAACCCCGCTAAAGCCATTTGCAGTTGTTTTGGGCTGAGGTTTTCAACCTTTTTGAGTCCATGGCTCCCTTGACCAACTACATACTGTGGCACCCCTGTGGGGCTTAGGAGCCCAGTTATGTCACCCTTGCCTGCAGAGCTGGCAGCTTCTCACCCTTTTTGAACACCCTCCCTTGAGGAGTGTTCCCTCAGCCTCATTTCCTCTCCCCTCTCCTTCGGAGTCCTCCAGGAAGCTGCTGTTGCAACCCTTGGTCTCTGAGCTGCCCCCTGCACCCCACAGGGGCCTGAGAAGCACCCCTGCGCAGCCCCAGAGGCATCATTCGCCTGGGGAGCTTGTAGCCATGGCTGCTGCAACAAACAGCCATGCAAGCCTTTGGGAGGCAGAGACGCAAGAGGGCATCAGAGGGAGGGAGGAAAGGAAAGAAGGACAGAAGCCAGTGTTGCCCGAGGCACCCTTGACTATCACTCCAGGCACCCCAGGGTGGCAGGGCACACTGGTTGAAAACCACTGGTTTAGGGGGTTCCTCGGTCACAGGCATGGCAACATCTGCCTATACCCTCCCATCGCACCCTGAACTGCTCCCAAGACTGTTGTGTGTGTCCTGCTGACCTTCCTTTGGGGCGTCAGCCTGGCCATGAACAAGGAGCAAGGACCTTCGTCCCCAACAACAGCCGCAGCACTATGCAGCTGCAGCCACAGCTGGTGTGGTGTCAGGGTTGCAGCTTTCGACTAGGACCTGCAAGGCCAGAGTGCAAATCCTTACTTGGTCATGAAGCTCACTTGGTCACCTTGGACCAGCCACCATCTCTCAGCCTAAGCTACCTCACAGGGTTGTTGTGAGGGTAAAACAGGGTGGGAGAGAACTATGTGCACCACTTCCAGCTCCTTAAAGAAATGACAGAATACCTATATATAATAAATCATACATTAAAAACACCCCAGTGGCTCATGGGAATCCCATCTGCTGTTGAACACACATTCAGGGCCAATGGAAAAGTTCAAGGGTCTTCCTTATGCAGGATGCTACCTTATTCTCTGTCAGACCTGTGGTTCATCTAGCTCAGCATTGTCTATACACCACAATGGCAGCAATGATTCTCCAAGGTTGCAGGCAGGTACCGTATTTTTCACCCTATAGGATGCACTTTTCCCCCTCCAAAAATGAAGGGGAAATGTGTGTGCGTCCTATGGGGCGAATGCAGGCTTTCGCTGAAGCCTCGAGAGAGAGAGGCGTCAGTGCGCATCGACCCCTCTCGCTCTCCAGGATTCAGGAAGCTCTGTGCAACCCTCGGGAGACCGGCGCCACTTCGCGCCCGCCTCCCGAGGGTTGCGCAGAGCTGCCTGCAGTCCCGAGGCGGGGGCAGCTCTGCGCAGCCATCCGGAGCGGGGCGCCACTTCGCGCCCGCCTCCCGATTGCTGCGCAGAGCTGCCTGCTGTCCCAGGGCGAGCGCAGCTCTGCGCAGCCATCCGGAGCCGGGTGCGAAGTTGCGCCCGCCTCCCGATAGCTGTGCAGAGCTGCCTGCAGTCCCGAGGGGAGCGCAGCTCTGCGCAGCCATCCGGAGCGGGGCACGAAGTCGCGCCCGCCTCCCGATGGCTGCGCAGAGCTGCCTGCATTCCGAAGCCTGGGGAGACCGGCGCGACTTACCGCTGGCCTCCCTAGGCTTGCGGATAGCAGGCTGTTCTCGGGGCTGGGATTGGGGGAAGCTCGCGCCTGGGGGGGAAATAATTTTTTTTTCTTTATTCCCCCCCCCCCCAAAAAAAACTAGGTGCGTCCTATGGGGCGGTGCGCCCTATGGGGCGAAAAATACGGTAGTCTTTCTTGCCAGCCTTACCTGCACCTGCTGCTGGGACTTGAACCTGGGACCTTCTGTGTGCCAAGCAGATGCTCTGTGGGCCCCTCCAGAAGTCCTTTTTTGTGTGTGCATTCCTCATTTGTGTTTGTGATAGAATCAGGGTGATGATACATGATCCTGCTTTCAATACCATTTGCGCCTGCAAAAGTTTTGGAGTGGCCACAATGCCTCATCTTCCCATCAAAACATATCCTGTAACTTACTGCGAAAATCCTCCAACTTGTTATATCAAACGTATCCTGGGGTTTGTGGGTGTGTCCCATTACTGTGGCGCTTGTAGTAAACTGCTTTGAGGTTTTGTTTTGTTTTACAATCAAGCTGGTTGTAAAATTTATACACTTTTTGTGCATAAATAAGTTGGAACAACAACAACCCT